AAATAAAAAAATCCATGAAGCAAAAAAAGAGCGATACGCGTTTAAAATGTCCTGTCTTGGAATCCTATTTAAGCTCCCATTGCATCATCTACTTTGCCTGAGAGACCTGTCTTGGAATCCTATTTAAGCTCCCATTGCATCATCTACTTTGCCTGAGAGACCTGTCTTGGAATCCTATTTAAGCTCCCATTGCATCATCTACTTTGCCTGAGAGACCTGTCTTGGAATCCTATTTAAGCTCCCATTGCATCATCTACTTTGCCTGAGAGACCTGTCTTGGAATCCTATTTAAGCTCCCATTGCATCATCTACTTTGCCTGAGAGACCTGTCTTGGAATCCTATTTAAGCTCCCATTGCATCATCTACTTTGCCTGAGAGACCTGTCTTGGAATCCTATTTAAGCTCCCATTGCATCATCTACTTTGCCTGAGAGACCTGTCTTGGAATCCTATTTAAGCTCCCATTGCATCATCTACTTTGCCTGAGAGACCTGTCTTGGAATCCTATTTAAGCTCCCATTGCATCATCTACTTTGCCTGAGAGACCTGTCTTGGAATCCTATTTAAGCTCCCATTGCATCATCTACTTTGCCTGAGAGACCTGTCTTGGAATCCTATTTAAGCTCCCATTGCATCATCTACTTTGCCTGAGAGACCTGTCTTGGAATCCTATTTAAGCTCCCATTGCATCATCTACTTTGCCTGAGAGACCTGTCTTGGAATCCTATTTAAGCTCCCATTGCATCATCTACTTTGCCTGAGAGACCTGTCTTGGAATCCTATTTAAGCTCCCATTGCATCATCTACTTTGCCTGAGAGACCTGTCTTGGAATCCTATTTAAGCTCCCATTGCATCATCTACTTTGCCTGAGAGACCTGTCTTGGAATCCTATTTAAGCTCCCATTGCATCATCTACTTTGCCTGAGAGACCTGTCTTGGAATCCTATTTAAGCTCCCATTGCATCATCTACTTTGCCTGAGAGACCTGTTCTAAACAAGCGTTTGCCATCTGTGAAAGCCATCACCCCCAGCTCCATTCTCACAGCTTCTAATTTTTCCGCAAAAAAACATCTCGCACTCCCCTCCCCCCCTCTCCCCCCCCCACACACTTCACCCCCACACCCCTGAAAAGAAAGAATGAAAATGTCCCTATCAAACCACCACAACTCCACCCTCACCCTTTACTTTAAAAAAAAAAAACAACAACCACCACCAACCAGTCAGATCACTTCTCCTGTCTTCATGTCAAGGTAAATAATAACCAAGACCAGACAAATGTGTCTGTGTCTGCATCAACCCGTGGGACGTTTCTCACGCTGCGCGTGAAATTATTCCCCGGTGACCCAATTTCCCCACCCGCCAGCCCGGGGGTTAGCTCCCACCCCCCCCCTCAGACCCAGGGAATTACATCACTAAGATTTCTTCTTCGTTTCCTGTATATGTATTTTCCTTTGGAGTGGTTCTTCTTTTACTCTTCTATTGACTGTACTACAACGCCTAAAGACAAGCAACGGATACATGAATCTTATCCCGTCAGAGTTATTCATGAATGGTATTTCAATTGAGATAAAAAAAATTCAAATCTGGAGTTGTTGATTTTTTTTTTTTGCATCCGTTGTCAGACTAACGAAAAATAAAAATATGTGTCAGTGTGACTTTTTTGACAAAAGAGCGGGAAAAGACAGACGAATCGGACGAACATTTTTAAGCAATGTAATCCTCGTGGATTTTTTTTTTTTAAATGGCAATGGTTTAAGCAACGAGTCGACACCACGGTACGGTCTTTCCCACAAAAATCTATTTTCTTCCCTCACTATATAACACAGGAAATGGTCCTATTTTTTCTGGGTTTTTTTGTCTTAAGGGCGATATTGTTGTCACGAAGCTGAAGACAAAAGTCACGTGTTCGGATTAGGTAGAGTTACAAACGTGGTGAGTTACGTTGTGAGGAAAGACTGTCTGTGTGACTGGCTAAGTTGTATTTACCGAGCAAAAGTCCTCAGGGATCAATGCTGTCCATTGTCGGGCAATGGAACAATGCACGTACGTGTTGTGGGAATTGTTGCAAATAAATGCACACGCCTGGGGGGGGGGGGGAATAGTTGGCTCAAGTTGGTTTTCTTTGTTTTTTTTTTATTCTTGTATATTTGTTTTGGTTTAATTTCAAATGTAGACAATGACGTCGGTCTTAGGAAGTTTCCNTTCCCCCCTTTTTCCATCCCGTGTGTTTTTATAGATTACAACACTTAAGCCCCCCCCCCCCCCCTAACTTATTAAACCCTAACACAGTTCGAAGGCTAACTACTTCCTTCCGTCTGGTTCAAAATTTTAACTTGGCGAGCTGTGAATGACTTCTGATGACATAATACAAGTCGTTGTCAAAAAAAAAATATTTTTTTTAAAATCTCATCTTAATTCTTACAGAAATTTTGCTCTGTCAACCCATTTCTTTGCGCTGTCAACTGATCTCTTTGCCCTCCTGTCACCCCATCTCTATGCCCTGTCAACCCATCTCTATGCCCTGTCAACCCATCTCTTTGCCTTGTCAACCCATCTCTTTGCCCTCCTGTCAAACCATCTCTCTGCCCTGTCAACCCATCTCTTTTCCCTGTCAACCCATCACTTTCCCTGTCAAGCCCCCACTTTCCCTGTCAACCCATCCCTTTGCCAAGCTAATCCTTGTTCAGTGAAGAGACGTGGATTTAATTAATTGTAATGTATCCAGCTAGCTATAATCATGTTCAGCGTTTTAACTGGATTATTCCACTTAATCCACACACACCCCTGATCGGACGTCGCTTGATTCATCTACTATTTTTGTCACATTCAGGCGCAGTACTTAAAACACCACAATGCCTTGGATTTATTTTTTAAATTCTAAATTTCTATTAAAAAATACCAATGAAATACGGCATATATGTGTATTTCCTAAAGTGTCAACCATTTTAAGCCGAAACCAAAAATCAATTGAAAAAATATATCAGGTTTTTTTTGTTTGTTTTTTTAATCAATATTCACTAACGCTTCATGTTTTAAAACTAACAACCTGCGACTTACAGATCCCAATTTCTTATTTGTGTCGTCCGCTATTGATCTTTTGGGACACGTTGCCCCTTTTCTTTTTAGGCTATTCCAATTTGATCAATGATCTCTGTGTTAAAAATATCTATACTACAACATTGACATGCCAAAAGCGATCGATTTCATCATAGTCTTTGCTTTAATTTTAATTAGGGGATTGGAGGCCGGGGGTGGGGGGGGGTGTATTGCGTAGGTGAAGGGTCATCTCCAATCGAATTGGTTTCAAAGCATATTTTTCTTTCAGAAGCATCTCTTGCACATAAAGAATCTTGAGTTTTGTTTGTTGATGGCACACATGAGGACGTAGGACGTCTGACAAGAAATCATTAAAACTCAAAGGCGACGGGGAATTCAGCCGGGTGTCTCTTCTCTCCGATAGAGAGACGAGTGTCCACGTTTCGTAAAGGATACTACACGGCAACACACGGTCGGCGTGCTCCGTGGTAAAGAAATGATGGAGGTTGACATGGTTTGGTGGAGGTTGACAGAGTTTGGTGGAGGTGGATAGAGTTTGGTGGAGGTTTGATAGAGTCTGGTGGAGGTTGGTAGAGTTTGGTGGAGGTTGGTAGAGTTGAGTGGAGGATTAAAGTGTTTTGTAGAGTTTGATATTGTTTGGTGGAGGTTGTTAGAGTCTGGTGGAAGTTGACAGAGTTTGGTGGAGGTGGATAGAGTTTGATGGAGGTTAATAGAATTTGATGGAGGTTGAGTTTGGTGGAAGTTGATAGACCTTGGTGGAGGTTTATAGAGTTGTGTAGAGGTTGATATGTTTGGGGGAGGTTGATATAGTCTGATGGAGGTTTATCGAGTTTGTTGGAGGTTGATATTGCTTAGTCGAGGTTGATAAATTTTATTGGAGATTTACAGAGTTTAGAAGAGGGTCTTTGCGTTTGGTGAAGGTTTGTAACGCTTGCTTGAATTGTTTTCTACACAGTCTACTCAGATTCGAGTTTTCAACTCACCTATATTTTGTATTAGGCTATTTTCGCACCTTGACATGAAATTTTTGAAATACAAATAGCTCTATGTGTATCCTTGACAAGCTTATCCTTATTCTCCACCCAAACCTCAAACGTGTTCCTTTACTCCAAGTGGGGCAGGGGACCCTGGGTTATTGGGACCATGGGCCAAGGGCCGATAGGATCGTTGGAACCTTGACATCTGGACCTGTTGGACACTGGGGCTTTTGGATTGTTGGATCATGGGATATTGGGACCGTGGATCCTTGGACACTGGGGCATTTGGATTGTTGAATCCTGGGATATTGGGACGGTGGACCCTTGGACACTGGGGCATTTGGATTGTTGGATCCTGGGATATTGGGACCGAGGACCCTTGGACACTGGGGCATTTGGATTGTTGGATCCTGGGATATTGGGACCGTGGACCCTTGGACACTGGGGCATTTGGATTGTTGGATCCTGGGATATTGTGACCGTGGACTCTTGGACATTCCGGCCGTTGGACCCTAGGACATCGGGACCGTGCGGCATTGGGACCATGGGGCATGGGGACCGTCAGGTGTTCTGAACGTAGGGCATTTTTAAACACTACCACAACTAGCACATCCCCCTACACATACCGTCACCTCCACCTCGCCACCCCAAACCAAGAAATGACATAAAAATTGATCGCATTATACGCTTAGAAAGCAATCCAAACACGATGAGCAATGAAATGTTGCAAAACAAAATATTTCAATTTCTTTTAAAATATTTAAAATATATTTTAAAAAAAAATAATAGTGGAGTAAAGCTGCCCACCCCAGATCCTCAGAGATACAAAGAGCGTGTGAAGTGGGCCGCCTACAAGAGACCCCCCCCCCCCCCCCTTTAGGTCCTACGTCAACTTTTTCAGCAGAAACGTCTTAGAAACTCAAAAGAAATACCAAAAAAAAAAACAAAAGCATATTATCCAAAAGCCTCGTTCCACGTACGAACTCACGGGCAGACAACTCAATAGATTTATTTAAAACGGGACAACATATTTAGCCGTGGCCGTTCTCTCTCTCTCTCTCTCTCTCTCTCTCTCTCTCTCTCTCTCTCGTTGAATTTGTGAAATATTTCCCAATGCATGTTCTAGCTTTGCTCGCTGGAGCACTCTGAGCACAACCGGAACGGATAGAGAACCGTCCGTTGTTGTTGTTTTTTTGTTTTTATATAGACATTTAAAAACAGATATTTGACAAAAATTCAACTGAATGAATACACGGCCCGGGGGGGGGGCGATTAATAAGCCGGTAGGATTATAAAAATATTCGTCAGATAACTCAGAGCATTCTTGTCAACAAATATGGAAGTAAAGAAGCAAAATGCTAGGCTAAGAAAACAAAAAAAAAATTAAGTTATAAGAATAATATAACAATGATGAATGGTTTGAACTTAAGATTTCACGAGATTTGGATTTCAATTTATAATTTCAATTTATAATTTAAATATATAATTTCAAATGATGATTTCATTTCATAGTTTTGATCAAGAGGTTTCTCAACGTGACAACACCGTGGCAGATGTTAATTTTGTTCACGCTCACAAACAACTATTTCGCTATCGCCAGGGTTGAGAGGTCAGGGCCGTTGCCCTCGTCATCTCTTCGTCCTCCAGCGAGCATGTGGCTAACTCTTGTCCTATCACTATGAAGATGATAAGAGGTTAAAAAAAAAAAAGAAAAGAAAAAAAAAGCAAGATATTCTGGCATAGAAGCTAAAATTTATGACTAGCTCGCTTCTGGACACCTCGTGATAAATAAAATATAAATATTTATATTTGCAAGAAGTAAAGTATTCAGCGTAATAAAGCGGCCATCCTTGGAGAGCGAAAGTGGGACATCAGCTGCAGAAAGGAAGAAAAAAAAACTACAAAAGAGCAGAGTTGATGTCCCATTTCTGCCCTCCTGGGGAAGACGATTCAGGTTATCGTTACATGCGAGTTATCTCTGGATTTGTTGTTCCCTTATTAATTCCCTGGTAGTGGTCTTTGGCTACAACTTCCGGCGCAGCTTCATCTTCCCCTGGGGAATGACAAAAGTACAATGCGTTAGATAAGGGTAGCAAACAATTATATAGATAGATAAGTGCATCAATGGCTGGGTAGAGATCGAATGGACACCAAAAATGAAACAGGATAAGGCAAAAGTGATCGATGTGATGGGCGGAGATTCAAAAATAAATGGAGGAAATTGGTGTTGATGAAAAGGAACTCGATTTGATAAATGGAAACATGTTAATAATTGAGGACGATCATTTTAATTTTTTTTTTAAAACAATTTTTTTTTAAATTGTTCTTAAAGAAAATGAAATAATGATCTAGACATAGAACATGTGAGCAACAAAACAGAGAGAGGGGAAAAAAAAGAAAAGTGTTTGGGGGGAGGGAAGGGGTAGGGTGTAAGAAACGCTTACATGCATGGAGACAGAAAAATTAAAATGTGAACAGTTGTAGGCATAACATTTCTTGAGAGGGATAAAACAAATCATGTTCAGCTCTTCTGTGACGCCACATGGCTAATTTCCAAACCAAACGTGTAAATGCAGGGAGCTATTCTGTGAGGTCACATGGCTAATCTCTGACCAAACGTGTAAAGCCACGGAGCTCTGAGTTCCAAATGTTTTAATAAAATTAAGTTAAAAAATTCAACAATTTAAAAAAACAAAAAAAAAGTAGATCTAATTGAATCTAACTTGTAACATAAAGTTGATTTATCCTTACTTAACAAATAGTAAGTTGTGGACAAAAAAAAAAGGGGGGGGGGGGGCGGGCTGAAGAAAGTTAGACGTAACGAAAAGGCAGTGAGCAGTGCAAAGTTGCAGAGTTTGTTTTAATGACGTGTTGGGTTGTGATGGGGATCAAAGACGAGTCGGTTGACAACATGTCAATCATCTAGCCCAGGCCAGCATAACACAAAATGTGAGGCGGGCCGTAACATTATTTGAAAAACTAGTGTGGGCCGAAAGATATTAGGACAAGTGGGTGTGGGAGGAAGGGTGCTATCAAGAAAATAATTTTAAAGAAAAATATTTCGTTAATTTGCGGGCCGCAAAGTGGGTGCTGGCGGACCGTATGTTGTGCGGGCCTGAATTCTAGCCCAGTCAACCTGATGCTTTGACGGGAAGCGCACATGAATTCTTGATGTTACGCCATTAGGCTAAAATCCGAGTATTTTACTTAAGTCAATTCTAATAACTGTATAGAAATGGTTCAGTCAAATCTCTTTGCTGTTTCTACTAATTAATTTATAAATACTCAAATGAGCGACTTGTTTTAATTAAATAAGAATCACACGTGGTAGCTACATAATAATACACGGTTGAAGTTCTAGATTGGTGCCTTTCATTTTTGATTGTGTGAGCTACTCATTTATAACTTTGTATAAGTGACCCACACGAGGTTCCGACACCTATCCTGATGCGCGCCCCCTTGCTTTATTGGTTTATCCGCTATCCCCCCTAAGTATACGCCCTCTGCGGCCCCATCTCCCCCCCCCCCCATCATTACACCAATCTCCCCCATCTCAGCTAAATCGGTACAGACCGTGGTGTCTTCCACACGAGGTTCCGACACCTACCCTGGTGCGCGCCCCCTTGCTTTATTGGTTTATCCCCTCTCCCCCCTAAGTATACGCCCCCTGCGGCACCCTCCCCCCCCCCCCCCATCATTACACCAATCTCCCCCATCTCAGCTAAATCGGTACAGACCGTGGTGTCTCCCCACAAACCAACTGAGGAGATGCACCCCCCCCCCACATGCCTGGAGGCACCCGCACACCAATCTCAGGCGACGACCTCTATCGCTGCCCCATTCCCATCATTAAATCAGTCGCGGTAACTCCTACCAGCTCACTAACGCCACTTGGGGGGGGGGCGGTAAGGGGAGAAGACAAAGTTAAGATATGGAAGGTTTATTTAAGGGAGAACACCACAGAACTTTCGAAGCGAGCGCGCTTTCGGGGGGCTGGTGCATTGTTTGAGTTGGCGTGAAGGTTAAGAAATGTTACAGTGGGAGAGAGGGGGGGAGAGCAAATCAAGGAGATGAGGATGTTCTTGTCTTTTAAAGTTAAATAACTTACAAAGTGCAAAGTAACATATTTTAATCTGTAAGTTTTATGCATTCTTCCCCTTTAAAAAGTTGTCCCCCCAATAAAAAATATATATATATAAATAAACTTATTTCACGTTCGTGTGTAAGGGTCTCTAGAGTAGGTAGTAAATTCTTTGCAGTATATTCTTTTGTAGTGTATTCTTTTAGAGCACAAAACATAAAAGCAGATTATGAATGAAGCTCTGAAAGGTAAAGACACAAAAATATGGCGACCAAACAAAGTTTCACAACACTCAACATTGGTAGTGGCAACAACCCAAGTGTGAAGAGGAGCACATGCGGAGTTTGGTCCAGAGTCACACTTAGGGTACGTACTTCGGTGAATGCTAAGTTTGGTCCTACCGCAGTCATGTTGGTTTGCATCATGTTGCCAAGTCGTGTTGCAAAGTCGTGTTGAAAGTCATGCCGAAAGTCATGTTGGTAGTAATGCAGTTAGCCATGTTGAAAAGTCGTAGAACTTGTATTTACCGCTACATACATCTAGTGTTTCTTTCAGAAATTTTACCCCGGGGGGCACTTCAGATTTTCT